GAAATTTCCGAGAGATAGGAATGCAATATACTTAAACAGTCAAATCTTGCTAATCACTTACGTGCTTGTTCTCTAATTATTTGGGATGAAATATCAATGGCTCGACGTGAATTGATAGAGGCATTAGACAATGCTTTAAAAGATATAACTGATTACAATGAACCATTCGGATGGAAGGTTGTTATCTTTGGTGGTGATTTAAGACAAATAACACCGGTCATTCCTAATTGAACTAAAGATGCCTTCATTGAGGCAAGTTGTGTCTCATCGCTATTATTCAAGAAGGCACATAAATACCATCTAACCATCAATATGTGTGCAAAAAATGATCCTGAGTTTGCATCATTCAGTGAGAAAGTTGGCAAAAATACTTGCCCTAATAATCAACAATGAGAGATCAAGTTGCCTAACAAGACCTTAATAAATTCTGATCTCGGTCTTGAATCGTTAATAAATACAATCTTTCCAATGGAAATACTTGAAAGTCAATCATGAAATTCATTTGTTGCGAGAACCATCTCACTACCACAATGAAATAGTATATCAAATATATTGTTTTATTGTTAATAGAATGCCGGAAGAATCACTCATATCAACTGGAAGAGATGTTACGAAAGATCCAGCACAACAGACTCCCTATGAAGATTATCTTTCAACTGTTATACCCAATGGCATGCCACCCAGGACATTAGTATTGAAAAAAGGGGGCACCCATTATGCTTTTGCGCAATTTAGATCCACCAAATGGTCTTTCAAATGGTACAAGACTTATTTGCAAACAAGTTACACAACATATTATTGAGGCTGAAATCATTTCAGGATCTTGAACATGAAACATTTGCTTCATACCTAGAATTCCGCTACAACCAAAATCTGTTAAGGAAACATCCATAGAGTTTACCATAACACGATTCCCAGTTAAGCTATGTTTTGCAATGACTATAAATAAATCACAGGGACAGACTCTAGAAATTGTCGGTCTCTATATTAAACAACCAATATTCATGCACGGCCAATTATATGTTGCTCATTCAAGGGAAAATCATTCAACTCTTTGCACATTTTATTGGAAAATAAAACACCTACAACATCCGGAATTCAATGGACAACAAACATTGTATATCAAGACCTACTTTTAATGGCTGGTACTAACATTTGAATTTTTGCAACCTGTAACAATAGGGAGGAGAAGATGGTGTTCAAATAAATCAATAAATTTTCTTACAAGAACCACAAAACTTGGAAACCAAAATTCGTTTAAGCCATTACATTGTAAAGAAATTGCTCTTATACAACATCTTTTGTGTAGCATCTGTTTTGTTTCATAAACATTGATTTATGAAATCATTAGAAATAAAATTTAATGATTGAATTAAATACAGAGAATTATAGTGATAGCGAAAGTGGAATGTTGTTTTCAGTCATCAGCCAACATATTTTTTGGGATCTAAATGACTTCTTGCTTTCAAACATATACAAATGGCAAAGGACATTCCCATACGCCATAACAATGAATTTCATATTATGGATTCAACACACTATTTTCGGCACAATTGGTAGAGCTTGTCAAATACAAATTACACTGTTACAAAGGTATGGACAACATGAAATATTTGATCTTAGTCCACCAATTATTTCTCTTATACCATCATCAATTGAAATCTTTCCTCCATGTTCTTGCATGTGATAGATGCCAGGTCAGTCGTTATTTCTTTATAATAATGACTGTATTAAAGCTGGAAGTGAGAATTAGATTTAATTAACTTTGTAGGTTGTACTTTACGTTATTTATTTGTTCTATGATAGATTGTAGGCTCAATATTTTGCTTTGTTGTCTATTGGTGTTGTTTATTTACAAAAAAATTCAATAATAGTTTTTTCCGTTTATGTTTAGTAATTACATAGACGAGTTTACCAGCTTATGTTAATTTCATTATTAATTTTCTCGTGTACAGTGGCCGCCAAAAATTGAATGTTGAGTTTACTTCCAAGACCGTTGTTAGGATGAATGAATACTGCTAATCGAGTATAAATATTATGAAGACATTGACTCAACAACGTTGCTTTGTTTAACTTGCTACTTCATTATATATAAGAAATTAACACCACAACAAATTGTTGTTGTGTTAAAACATTCCAATGCTGCCTGCACATGTATGTTCTGATCATTGTAAATAATATATATTATATTTGGTGTAGCGTTTGCAGGACTCTTATGGAGGCTATATGGTTGCATTTGGTGGGCAAAAATATGTAGCAAGTTCGATCCCGGTTTTTTTTGCCAATGGTACATACATTGTAAGCGGATTTACTCTGGTATTGTATGTTCATAGTAATCAATATATATATGTATGTATGTCAAGGTTCACGAGTTTAAGAAAGGAAGGCTTCAAACTTGTACTGGAGAAGAGATGGGTGTGCTCATGCTCGGGAAAATTGAACTTTGTGTGCCTTTTCTCTTATACCACCATCAACTGAAATCTTTTCTCCATGTTCTTGCATGTGATAGATACCAGGTGGGTCGTTATTTCTTTGCAATAGTTACTGTATTAGAGCTGGAATTGAGAATTAGATTTAATTAACTTTGTAGGTTCTACTTTACGTTATTTATTTGCTCCGTGATAGATTGTACACTCAATATTTTGCTCTGTTGTCTATTGGTGTTGTTTATTTACAAAAAAATTTCAATAATAGTTTTTTTCCCTTTATCTTTAGTAATTACATAGACGAGTTTACCGGCTTATGTTAATTTTATCATTAATTTTCTTGTATACAGTGGCCGCCAAAAAATGAATGTTGAATTTACTTCCAAGACTGTTGTTAGGAAGAATGTATACTGCTAATCGAGTATAAATATTATGAAGAAACTGACTCAACAACATTGCTATTGTTTTTAACTTGCTACTTCATTATATATAAGAAATTAACACCACAACAAATTATTGTTATGTTAAATCCATTCCAGTGTTGCCTGCACATGTATGTTCTAATCCTTGTAAATAATATATTATATTTGGTGTAACATTTGCAGGACTCCTATGAAGGTTATATGGTTGCATTTGGTGGGAAAAAATATGTTGCAAGTTCTATCCCAGCTTTTTTTGCCAACGGTACATACATTGTAAGCATATTTACTCTGGTTTGTTTAGCCAACTCAGCACCGCTGAGTGTGATGTTAATCCCTTTTATCTATTGTATTTGCATACTAATCAATATATATACGTATGTATTTCAAGGTTCACGAGTTTAAAAAAGGAAGGCTTCAAACTTGTATTGGAGAAGAGATGGGTGTGCCTCATGCTCGGGAAAATCGAACTTTGTGTGTCTTAACAAGCAAGATTGCGCAATCAGAACAAAAAACTGCAACAATCGATAGGGGGTTCTGGGTTGCAGCCTTGGAATTCAGCTGGCGTTTTCGGGCACAGACAAGCATGAGTTGGTCTTCAATTCATGGTATGAGGTGCTGAACCTCCGGCAGTATTCTCTCAACGGCCTCTATGCCAGCCTCCAAGACTCTCTTGTCTCCTAGTACAACAGATTTCTCTAATTGCTCTATCTCTCTCTCTCATTTTATATTACATTGTGCATTTAAAAATAAGTTCTCACATGTGAGTGTGTCTTCCAAAGTTCTTATTTGCTTATGTGTATTTAATCTTTTTTTTTTCATTTTTCTTTGCATATGATATTTGTTAGTTTATTTGAGTACATGAAACACGAGCCGACTTAAAGAGTCATATTTTTTTCTTTTAAAAGATCATTATAGATTGATGAACACGATTCAAATCACATGTCATCGAAACATTCGATTTTGCTAATTGATACATTGAGACAGGATATAAAGCCTCTTGTATTGCTTGTGTTGTTTTGTCTATGCTGACATACCTTTAAACCAAATATAGTGTTGATGGTTTGACTACTACTTTCTTTTCGAGTTGTGTAGATGGTACGTAGTTGTTGAGCTTTGTTACCCAAATATAATGTCTTCAATTCAATTATATTGTGCTAACTATGCAGCCATTGACGGTGTTGACTTTACAGATCATGCTCATCAGGCTATGGACATCCATCAATTGTCATTTGCCACTAGATTAATGCACAATTCAATTTTAACATGTTTCTTCACTTAGTTAATGTCTCAAAAAAAGACAAAGAAATTTATTAGCAACTTCCTCTTTTACTATTTATGCCTTTTATGATTATTATGTAACGTATCTCCTTAAAAAAGGCTCATTAAAACATCCTAATTTTTACACTACTGGCCATAGGCCCAGTTTGGGCACACTAGATTTTAATATTATTTTATTTAAAAATATCTATTATTATTGATTTTATTAGTATTATAATATACGCTATTAAACGGATTCAAAGTTTCACTAAATTCATTTTATGAGAGAATTCACATCCGGATTCTCATAACACTGTCCGACTCAAGTGAATGTTTGGAATTGTATATTTTCCATCTTCCAATTTGAAGATTGAATTTTCCAAATACATCTCTCCTTATTCGCTGTGCATCGCCTAATCTTTTTGGATCTAAACCCTAGATTCTTTTACTTATGTGTTCTTACATTTCATACGGTAGGCCAATTTTATTTTTCGATCCAAAAAATTGTTGGTAATCTGTGTTGATTTACTTAACAATGTTCTTTTACTGATTGGCACATCTCAACGCTCATTCTGTCATAAATTAGCTCCACAGAAATGGTGGGTTTGTCATCGACCAAGTTCCCATACAACCAACAACATCAACCACTCAAATGTACAAGCTGTCACACAACCGTACATTGTGGAAGTAAAAAAGATTTTTTGCAGACTCCAATTATTTCCCTGATATTCAGGTACCAAATCCTAGGCATTAGATACATAGATTTCATGATTACTAAGGTTTTTCTTTCCTATATAAGTCACGAAACTTGCAACTAAATATTTTACGTTCTTGGGCATAACTCTCAAACCTTCTCTTACGCCATGGATGGAGGAAAACAAACTGTTGAAGATCACTTTATCAGTAAGGTTGCAGAGCTCACTCCAGATGCAACATACTGAACTATAAGAATGATGCTTCTTGAGTTCTCAGCAGAGCGTGTGTCTGGACGTACTAGAAAACATTACAAGCGGTTTATCTTTGTTGATGATCAGGTAACAACTATTTCTACATGTCTTTACCTTTGATAGTCAACTAAAGTTCCTCATTCTATACAAGACACAAAAATTCAGGCATGTACATTTCATCCTAATCTTCGCCTCATAGATGATTGTCTGGAGCTTTTATAGACCTATGATCTCTGCACAGAAACCTCGCAGCCCTTCACAATAAACACTATGAAAGGTTACAATACATCTGTCCAACTTGTCTTAAATAGGAGATCAAGCATTAATCCCATCACCGATTCTCCAAACCGATTCTCCAATTAATGTCATGGTGGGGAAGCCAACATTCATACAATACTCTGCCTTGCACCAATACTTGGAAGAAAAAGATTATATAGGTAATTTTACTTTTTACAATAACTAAGGTTACACACAGCATATATATTTTGTCTATGCAGAACTTCATATTTGTATCCAACATTTTCACTTCCCTTCATGCTTTACTCACTTGATAGATGTTGTGGGAGTTGTCATTGACATGGGAGCGCCCAAAAAAAAGGTGTCTGATTGCCTGCAGGAAATGATCATTATCTCACAAGAGTATTCCTCTTTATTCAATTAACTTCACTTTATTTATTCAAAACAAATGACTCTTTCTTTCTTTTAATTCCAGAAAAATCACCGACAAAAATAATTTTGTGGAATGATGTTGTAAATGCTGAAGGCAAATTTTTCACCGCACTTATGGATAGCCGTCCAATAATTGCAACGCTTAACATTCGCCCCTCACATTTTGATGGTAATTTGTACCAACCTTCCTCCCCAAAATATATGTATACCTTTACGCATTATCGGTATTAATATATGCAGCCAGTTTTAGCATCTAAATCTTTTTATTCCTAAAATATATATAGGTATATCCTTATCTGCCATTACAACGACTAACTTCCTTGTGCAACCTCCATATCTTCAATGCATTAACCTGCTGAAATGGTAAAGTTCATTGCATCCACTTACAAACTAACACCATATTAACTTCCACAATCTATTTTGTTTTGTAGGAAACTTGAAAACATGGCCTACTTGGATGCTTTTGTTCTGAAAAATGATTACTCTAATGAAAAGTCTTTACGTTTGGGTTTTGCCGAAGCTAGCCAAACTACAACCATTTCTCATATGCTTGCATCTACAAAGGTCAGCATCACATGTAAAATATAACTACAATTATTTGCATTGCTACACAATTGTAACTTTTTTTTTTTTTTTTTGTAGAATGGAGAATTTCACTGCAAAGCTTCATTCCAAATTACAATCAGTTCAGCAATGAAACTATCATATAGGGCATGCGCAAAATGCCACACCTCCACCATGACACATGACAAACGCAATTTCAAATGCTTCCGTTGTGCAAGCATTCAAGTTTGCGAAATCAGGTTACCTACTCTTTTGCATATGCTAATTACATAGTGTTCAAAAGCCCATTTTTCACTATATGTAATTTATGTAGGTACCTCTTGCATATGGAACTGCAAGACTCAACAACATATGTTAAATGTGTTGCTTACGATGAACTTTCATCTTAGTTACTCGACATTGACACAAGTGAGATGATTCACCAATCTAATGAGGTAATAGAGTTTTTGGGAACTACTACCATATAATGGTTCCTATATTTTCCAATGTTTATTCCTTTACAACTTTTACTTTAAAATTATTTGGGCAATTCATACATTGTATTTTCTATTCTAAAGTGCATTGCATCACCACTTTGTTTAATTTTTTACTGTTCATATTAAAAGTTTCATTCATATTATTATATTACAATACATTTTCCTACCTACATTTTCCTTCTGCAAATATACTTTTCCGAAATTAATGTCCTTTCTCACATTTTTGTCTTTCACAATTTCTTTGCATATCACTTACTCATGTCTTCCAAACAAGCCACACATTCTCTCTATTCTGTACCTAGATTTGCATCTTTTCACATTAAATACATTCTTCGTACACTTGTATATAATAACTATTTATGCAACTTTCGTCGTACAGGATATCATTGCAATGTGTCATATGCGGAACATGTCTGTAAGTAATATGTAGTTTCTATTCACAATTAAAAAAAGGACTCAAAAATCCACAAAGTTTGAAACTGGTGCCTACATAATTGTTGCAATGCAAGCTTTAAAATCAGGTGCATTACTCGAATATCAAATTTTCCAATATTTTTGGCCAAATATGTAACTAATTTACTGTCTATTTGTTTCATGGTAACATGAAATTTTACAGAGGCTACTGAACCAAAAAGTTTGTCTCCTACTTCATCCACGTCTACAATATACAATTCTGGTCTTACACCAAATCTCAAACATCTGGCGTTTTCAGAAGAACATTCCAAAGAAGACCAATGCTTATGTAAGTATGCACTTCCTTCAACCCATTCAAATTATGAATACATGTATTTGCCATTTCAATTGATGTGCACTCTATAAAATATAATTGCCTTTTATAGTTGCTGATCAAATTATAAACTTATACCTTGCTCGAATTTTGTATAATTGGTTTCTCATTACAGCTGTCGTGGATGTTGAAGTTTCAAACACTTCCAATGAAAAAAGTCCCGCATCTACAGGTGTTCAAAGCTCGGCCAAAAGATCCAAATCTTGAGGACGAAAGTAATCACCATATCTGCTCACAATCCCACCAGTAATATGTAATGGCAAGAAGATAACTTAAGAGAAAATGCCTAAGAAATGCAATATCATAATAGTGTTAGATTTAAGGATGTTTTCCTCACATATTTTGTTTTTGTTTTTGTTGCAAAAAAATGTGTGAAACCTTGGCGTGTTTTGAATTGCTCTAACTTCTACTTGCATATTAAGGTGATGTACTTATCAAAAACTATATTTTGTTGCATTGCTTCAAGAAATATTATATTTAAATCCTAACTGAAAATGATCAGTACATTCTCTGGTTCTTCTACATTGTTAATTGGTACATTTATTCCTATTTTGTTATACTAATGTTTCCATAGCTTTTAAGTTATTTAATACATGTTGTGGTGTCTTCTCTGGTCTTAAGTTTTTTTTTTTTTTTTGGTTGCCAATCTACTACTATAAATCATACAACCCATTTTTCAGATGCTAAAATCTGGACTAGATGTAGGCATCTTCTCCAAATGATCCTCATGAGGTTTGCATTGTTATTATTATTATTATTTTTAGAGGGGGAATAATTTAATTCAATAGTTTCTGTTGATTATGAAATTGCAACTCTTCCCGTATAAGACGTCTACATTTTTTATAGGCAATCTTCTCGTACAAAGAAATAGACTTTGTGGATTTTTTTATGCGTTTTTGTTTTTTTTGGGTTTACTTTTTCTATATATAGCATAATGGGCGATACGTTTGTTCACCTTCAACGGATTGTAAAGATTTTTTAGCCCCAACTGCAACACTTTGTTATACCTTCCATTATTTAACATTATTAATTACATGCCTGAAATTACTTTAGATTGATTTAATATTTCAATTATTAATCTTTTTTGTGTTTGATAGACACGCAGACTTCTTTTGGATCAACTTTTATCATTTCAACATAATTATTTTTCTTTTCCCATTGTATATAATTGGCTCAGCATAATGATGCACATATTTAAATGGATCGAGATTTTTCACATGTAGATCTATATTCATTACTCCGTCTTTTCTTTCTATTATGTATATTCACATCGAATATACAATCTTTTCTTCCATACCGACATTTCGACTTTGCATATACGACCTTATTATATTATATTGCACCCGCGCGGCGTAGCGCACTGCGGGTGCTAGTATAAATATATATATATATATATATATAACAATGATATTGTGCATTAACTTAGGGTGTGTTTGATTAAGAGATTGAATTTTAAGTTGGAATTTGAATAGTAAAATTTTTGAATTGTAATAGTTGTATGATGTGATATAAATAGGTGTTGATGTGATGTTTTGAATGTAAAATTAATTTTTAGCATAATATAAAAAATAAAAAAATAGGTGTTTAATTTGATGTTTTTTAGGAAAAAAATATTGGATAAATAGTACAATTTTGGATAAATCCTTTAAACGAACACACCAATGTGGTGTGAAGGTAAAATATGTAAAACTATCACAAATTGAAAAAATAAAATCCTAATTATAGGTCTTTACTCTTCTATTTCTTCTGTCTTAATGTAATTTTTTTAAAATAAATAATTATACATTTTAATAATATTTTAAATTTTAATTTAATTATTTAGTTATATTTAATTTTTATAAAAGAAATATGTTTGCATATATACATATATATATATATATAATTGTCTTGAAATATGGTGAATGCATTTACTCTAAAGTACTTGCAAATATATAATCCGCCCGTCTCATTTGAAAGAGTCTTTTAGAATTCTATAGTATATTAAAAAATAATAATATTTTATTAGTTAGTGGAAGTATGTAAGAGATTTCAATATTTTTATCTTTTGACTTTATGTAAAAAATAATTGTATGTGTAATGATAATGTTACTTCCTAATTTTCAGACCCAATAAAGAGCGGTAGCTCAAACCAGACGATCAGCCCATCCGGCCCGAACATCCGTAGTCCAGCCCAAGGTGGTGTACGGATTAAGATAAAATCAAATTTGGGAAGTGGGGAAGTAATATGGATAAAGTTTGAGGGAGTTGTGGATAACGGAGACGTGGAAAAGTGGACAGTTAGCGGATGAAGTTGTGATATAAAAGGAAAAAGGAAGAGACCTCAAATTAGACGTCTAACACCCCATTAGAAATTCCTTTCTTTTTTTTTCTATTTTTTTAAATATATTTTGTTGTATCCTTGCATTATTTTTTATCTGCATATTTCATTATTTTTTTTTGTTCCTATTTTCTTGCTGAAAATCCTTTTTTCAATTTAATTCTTCCAATTATTGTTCCAAGAATCTTGTTTTGAATTTTTAGATCACATCCATACCAACATAATGCAACAATAATCTAGATATTTTTCATTAATTTTCATATTGTTTCAACAGTTAATTTCAGTTTATTTCGTAAATTCTTGTTTATAAAAAGCTTTTAGATTTAATTCACAGCAACAACTCCGTTCTTTGCTTTGTTCTACTATTTTTCTTTATTTTCAGATTTTTTTCCTACAATTAATTTCCACTAAAATTAGATTTAATTTCCATTGCGAGACTAGTCCGGATATTTTCTTGAGTAGGTCAAGGAACCCGAATTACGTCGATTTCAACAGACCCAATTCATCTGGCCATCAACGACCATTTTCAGCATGAGAGATTGGCACGCCCAGTGGGACTCCGATAAGTCTCTCATTTTTACGCAACAGAGAAATTTCAAGTTAGCATCTTTGGTAAGAACCAAAATGTCGATTGCCGGCGAAATTACGTCGCATATTTTCAAAGAAATTATACATGACGAATCATCTGCACCTCCGGGAGGTGTGGAAAGAATTGTGACAATCCCGGCTAGCGTTTACTGGATCAGATCCGGGAAGAGATCCAAACGGAACTCCACGGGTTGGCGCCGAAGCTTTCCCGGTACGTTACAGAATTACTAAAGCTCACTATTCGCAATGAACTAGCATGGGCGAGGGAAGAAGAGATTCACAAAAGAGTAACTCCCACGACCAACACCAAACTTTCCGGAAACGATCCTCTGTCAAGGGCGAAACTGGGAGGCAGCATCGGATTCCATTTTGTAACGTTCCGGTACGGAAACATGACCGTATTGATGTGATAGACCAACAACAAAGGTATCCCGGATGAGTTCGTGACTGAAGCAGCGACGTCCTCTGAACAAGCTATTACAAGGCAATCGCCATTTCAAAGACCTTCGGGAAGCATCGGAGGTATGCCACCAAGCTCTTAATGGTACACGAACCCTTTATTTGGTGGATTGATAGCTAGAAATCACATGCATTTTATGTTCATATCATATGCGATATTTGATTGATTTTGATTGGATTCTACCTAATTTCTGTGCATATTATTTATTTTCGACATGCAGGAAAGAAAAGACAAATTTGGTGAATATGGAGAAAAAAAAATCAGCTTTGAACAGTCAAGTTAGTCATGACCATGACTAAACACTCTCCTGACATGAGAATTTAATTAAAGGGTCAAAGGCCCAACTGCTAAAAAAATAGGGCAAAATTAAATAAAAAGAATGGGGAGTCACACGCAAAAGGGGAGAGGACGGCCAGAGAGAAAATACGCACAGGAGTAAGAGACTGACAGACTCATAAATCGCGCATGAGCAAATCGGCGGAGAAGATTTCCCTTTCCACTATGACTTTATCTTTCCTTTTTTTTTTTCTTTGCTATTTGATTATGGAATAGATACGTTTCTGGTGTGAGGGATGATAATGTTTTGGTTCTTGTGTATTGGAGATTCTTAACATTTTTATAAAAATTCATTTTGATTATCAATATTTTTCTAATTCTTAGAATAACATTTGTAATTGTTAGATTGATTGAATATTTTGGTATCGATATTTAAATTAGTCTGATAATTTAAAGTTAATTTAGGTAGGATAACCGTAATTATATTCGCACTTGAATAGGTGACAACAGGGTTCAATA